CAGTTAGGTCGTTTTATAACATGATTAATTGGGGGGGGGGGGGGTGTCTACCCCCATTTGGAGAAAATTCTGGAAGATTGTTGTACCTCACAGATATCTAGTCTTTCTCTGGCTAGCTTTTCATAACAAAATTCTTACCAGGGATAACCTGAATAAGAGGAGAGAGGTGGAGAATCTAAAATGCTTATTTTGTAATGAGGATGAAACTGTCTGTCACCTGTTCTTTGAATGTGTGGTTGCTAAACAAGTTTGGAGTGATATATCTGACTCTTTTGAGTTTAGTATTCCAAATGACATGAATGAATTATCTTCCTTCTGGAATCTAAATAACAAAAAGTCTGTTACTAATATTGCTTGTGTTGCTACCATTTGGAGCATTTGGACGATGCGTAATGACATGTGCTTTCAGGGCATACAGTGGACAAGCACGCGTGCAATCTTGGCAAGGATCAGCTCGTCACTGCATCAATGGAAGGTGCTATGTGTGGGCGACCAATCGGTGCTGCTGAGAAGGTGCATCCAACTCCTAGATCGGCGAAGAGGCGAGCTGCTCAGGATTGCATGGGAGTCGGCCTGAGAGCTTGCAAGAGAAAGATCGAAGAGGAGATGCTGAAGATTCACCCAGAGTGAAAAAAAAGAGATAAAAAAATAGCAAAGTGATCTGTCAGTTCCCCTGTCGTGGTAGATGTATGACCGTCTTTGCACTTTCTCAGAATGCTGAATTTGGCTTTTGATTCCGGTGTCTCTGGTCCTGCCATTCAGGCAGGTCCCGAATGCTTGTAACGGTCTGCTGTGACTCGCTTTGCTTCGTTTTTATAAAATGGAGCGGGGGAAACCCCTTTCGATAAAAAAAAGGCATTAAAACTAGAATTTGTTTAGGGAGAATAGATGGTTATGCCTACTATCTGAGAGATTTTGACTAATTGAACTTTGAGGTACTGTATCAAACTCTCGATTCAATTTATGCATTCTAACCAAAAATAAGTCGTAATGGATGTTAGATGGTACAGGAGACTTTCAAAGTTTATCGCCTATGAATTGTATTCCCCATTCTAAATAGGGGTACCATGTGGTTCAACAAACAATAGAACATAAATACCATATGTGCAATATGAATTCTAAAGAGAACATGCAACAGAACATTTGGACTACAAACATATGGGATATTGTTTCATATCTTATCATATGAGGAAAGATTGCTAGAAGTCGAGTGCAATTACAATTTATAAAATCCGATGAATGGAAAAAACTAACGATACTAAACACCTTATGACAAAAACATAAAGGAAATAATTAAATTATAGTTCATTTTTACCGCTACAAAGATCATCTTAGCTTTTCAGGCACACTAAACCACTAATTGACCACTATGCATACATTGTCAAGGTGGACCGATCAAGACAGTAATGATTTGGCAGCAGACACTATCTACTATCTAGCATCTCCGCCGCACGCAAAAGCTTTGGCCAAACCCTAATATTTCAGGACATGGCTCCAAAAGCACAATAAAACTGAATGGTGAAGCAAAAACAAGAACAACGAGAAGAGAAGAGGTCATGCTTAATAAACGCACCTAAGTATAAAGACATCTACTGCATCACACCTCTGTTTAGTGTGTTATAAGGTAACTTGAAGGCAGTTTTGCTTATCGAGAAATTTGGTGTTTCCATCGTTGTGGTTATAACAAAAAGAGGTGGCTTGTCCAGTCTGCAGTATACTTACAATTCCATTTCTACATTACAAACAAAAGGGCTCCATTAGCTAGTTTTTCACATAGCATCATATGTTTCCTGAACAGTATCATAAGTTAATTTTATAGAGCCAATATTACGAACCGAAGGTTCACAATTTAGCATACGAGATCCTACAGCGCATAAACTTTAAGTGGTATTAATGAGTCATAGATCCCAAATTGTTAAAGGGTTCACAATTTAGCTCGACTGTTATAGATCCCAAATCACAAAGTTGATAAAGTTCATTTCTTCGGAATATAACCTCAAAAATTGAAAAGCATATCTTTATTTCATTCTGAAAAACATCAATTGTAAGAATAGAATTGGTCTTCTGAAGGGAAATGGAAGCAAATCGCGCACCTGAGGCGGGCTTTGGAGAGCTCCCAGTAGCACTGCCCGTAGTGACGCAGCACGTCGGAGGCGGATCTGGCTCCCGACGAAACAGCTACCGAGGCGGCCGCCGCTTCAGCGACGATGGGCGCGGGGGAGGCTGCAGAGGGTGCCGAGCAGGCGGCGCGCGCCGAAGGGATGGGGAGAATAGCCGTAGAGGGGTGGTGGACGGGGTCTCCGAGCATGCGCGAGCGGAGAGCCCTCGCGGCGGAGGCGGCGGTGGCGCCGCCTCTCCACATGGCGGCGGAGGCGACGACGAGCGACGGGGATGCCGGAAAGATCTGGTGGACGCTTTCGGCCAAAGAGATGGAGCTGCCGAGAACTCCACTTATTCACTTTTCTGCCCTAAAAAAAACTTATTCACGTTTCTTTTTTCTTTCTCGTAATCTTCTATATCTAAATGGCTAGCCCTCACTAGCCTATTTCTCTCAAGATGATATGCCGGCTCAGTCTCTCGAAGGTGCTCATAGGAATAAGGTGTGCGTGTGTGCGTTCATAGGAATGCGTGTATGCGCGTGTATATGAGCGTTTGTGTCTGTACTGATGCTAAAAAAAACATGCAAGTATGTCACCTCATCATTCAGCATGCAAGAAGAAAGACCCACCACAATATGTAATCATGCATAATAAAAAGCCACTTGGACATGCAAACATGCATGAGAGTTTACATTCTATTAGGATATTTACATTATACAATAATCAAACACCACAAATCATACTTATTTTTAGCTTTAGTTCTCATATTATAACTCTAAAAATTCATGTTTCATACAACCAATTCTAACTGGATGTATTGCAAACGTTCCCGCAACAATGTGCGGGATATCATCTAGTGACCAGCAAAAAGCCCATTCATTGCAATTTGACGAACTGAGTGTAGCTCAGATGACTATATTCTTTGTGGGCGGAATGAACCATCAGGGAAGTTCTAGACCTGCATTGATGATCGCATTTTTCTGGATTTATTTCAAGCCCCTCGGGGATGTGCGTTGACGTCTTGTTGACTATGAAAATGTGTGTGACGATTTCATCAATCTCAAGATGATGTGCCGGCTCGGTCTCTCGTGGTGCTAATAGGGTAAAGTATGCGTGTGTGTTTTCATACGGGTGTATATATATGCGTATGTATGAATGTCTCTATCTATGATGTGTTCAAAGAAGTAAAACTTGTGGTTTTTAAATCAATATCTGTGCGTTGCATTGAGTCATACATGCTTTGGTGGTTCCACATTAATCCTGTCTAACATATTTTTTATAAATCCCATGCACATCAAGCAGCATAGTCGTTCTTTTTTTTTTCTTACTATTTTATTTTCTCCTTTTCTTCTTTCTCCATCCACGTACCAAGATTCTGGTTAAACAAAATTTGTAATGATTTCAGTGTAATTTAAGTTCTGCATTGTAAGATTGCCACTTTCAAAGAAATTCTTAGATTTTATATGGTGACACCTAGAACTTATAATTATAGGGGCCTTTGCGACGGGTCTACTCCTGAAGCATCTTCCGGGTTCAATTTGTTCGCAAATAATTCCAAACAACTACTCTCAGGAAGTATAATTTAATCAATTCAGCACATATAAATAACCTTCTCAGCATTCACAGAGCAATGATACTCATTATCAAAACCCAACCAAATCATCTTGTGAGCATGCTAAACTTCTACTATACAGCTAGCTTGGATAAGTCAAAACAATGCAACCACGCAAGTAATTTATATTCATACTAAAGTTAAGAACAAAAACATATTAGACGAAGTTATCAGAATCAAGTCTAAACTATTGTCTTCCGTTGAGACTAAATTTATGTGCCAAAATATCACACAAATATTTGCACACAAAATAAGATGGATGCTCTAGTAGAACTGAAGTATACTAATGCTCCAATAGGAAGAGTGCACTCTACTTGGTAGAAACTCCTAGATAGTTGTGAATCTTTTAACGTAAGTAGCACCAAAAGCCACTAACTATGCATAGGGGAGGACTGTTAAAACTTGGATTGTTTCAAACTACAGCTAATGGAAGTGCAACTGCATAGAAAAAAGGGAAGATTTTTTTTCTACCACGCAATTTAGGCTTTATTTGTTTTGGCTTTTGATTATGCTTTTACAGCTTTTCTATTTGGTAAAAAAGCAACAAAAACTCTTAAATAGGGGTGTTTTGCTTCAGCTTTTGGCTTATGAATCAATATGATGATATAAGCCAAAAGCCGAAGCAAAAAAGCACCTATTTAGAAGCTTTTTTGGCTTTTTGGCCAAAATGAAAAAGCTGCAAAAGCAGAAGCAAAAAGCCCAAACAAATAGGACCTTATATCCTCTCTCTTGTGCTTCTTTTTTTCTTTCTTTTTTGTGAGAAACTTCCAATCTATTCATCTTCAATCATGACAGTACATCCAACATAAAAAATAATAAAAATACATCCAGATTCATACATCACCTAGCGACGACTATAAGCATTGAAGTGAACTGAAGGCGCGTCACCGTCATCGCCCCTCCCTCGCCGAAACTAGGCACAACTTGTTGTAGTAGACAGTCAAAAAGTCGTTATGATAAGGCCCAATAGGACCAACGCACTAGAACAACAATCGTCGCCATTGAAGAGAAGCTTATATCGGAAGGACCCAATGTAAAGACACATGAACAAAGACCGGACCCGAGCAAATCCACCAAATACAACCACCAACTGAATCCCGCGAGATCCGCGGGAGACACACTTCCACACACTCTCCAACGATGCTAGACGTACCACCGGTACGGGGGCTAGGCGGGGAGAACCTTATTTCCGTCTTCAAGAAGCCGTCGTTGTCTCGTCTTCCTGATCAAAACGCGGACCCTAACAAAACTTAAAGCACCTAAAACGGAGCCCTCCCACCGGAAAGGGTCGGGGTCCACCATGCACCCATGGCCCTAAGGCCACAGGAGACGTGGTAGATCGGCGGCGCAGCCAACGGGAGGCATAAACCCTAGTCATCTTTCCTTGGAGGAGAAACGAAGGGAGGAGAGACAAGGTTGCGTACAATTTCGTCCTTCTTTCTTTCCTTTTACTCTCAACTGAACCACATTATAACTGGATTGCACTCTGCAAGCCCAATTTTCTATCTCACACAGGAGCAGGTCATAAGGACATCATCTTTCTTCATTCTGAACTGAACAACACCACACACTGAATTGCATCCAAGTCATTGTCTTATTTCCCCCCCTTAGTTCTCTTAAATTTTTATTATATTTATCTATTCCTATTATTTTTCACTCATCTTAACTTTTTGTTTTCCATCCTTTATTACATTTATATATTCCTATTCTTTTTCACTCATCTTAACATTTGTTTTCCATCCTTTTTTTGTTTCTTGCTATTATTTTCCTAAGTAAACAATGACTATTTGTACAAGATACATGGACACTTGTTTTTGAACATGTGATTTTTTTTCTTTCCAAGACATGAACATCTCTTTAAGATATACTAGTAAATGCGCACGTGCAACGCACGTTAAATATTTAGGCAATATATTAATTGCACGCGGATTTTAGGTATGCTATTATTTGTGTGTTAATCATGTGATTAGTGTAATATTTGGTATGATATTAATTACACGTTAAACATGTTTAACGCTCGCCATTGGAGCAGTCTAGGTCGTTGGATTAACTTAGTTCGATGGCTGAGATCAGTTGGATCTGCCCCTTTGGGTCTTTTTATATTGGTATAGACTTAACGTTTGTTTTCCATCCTTTTTTTGTTTCTTGCTATTATTTTCCTAAGTAAATAATGACTATTGGTACATGAAGGAAATATGCCCTAGAGGCAATAATAAAGTTATTATTTATTTCCTTATATCATGATAAATGTTTATTATTCATGCTACATTGTATTAATCAGAAACATAATACTTGTGTGAATACATAGACAAACAGAGTGTCACTAGTATGCCTCTACTTGACTAGCTCGTTGATCAAAGATGGTTATGTTTCCTAGCCATAGACATGAGTTGTCATTTAATTAACGAGATCACATCATTAGGAGAATGATGTGATTGACTTGACCCATTCCGTTAGCTTAGCACTCGATCATTTAGTATGTTGCTATTGCTTTCTTCATGACTTATACATGTTCCTATGACTATGAGATTATGCAACTCCCGTTTACCGGAGAAACACTTTGTGTGCTACCAAACGTCACAACGTAACTGGGTGATTATAAAAGTGCTCTACAGGTGTCTCCGAAGGTATTTGTTGGGTTGGCGTATTTCGAGATTAGGATTTGTCACTCTGATTGTCAGAGAGGTATCTCTGGGCCCACTCGGTAATGCACATCACTTAAGCATTGCAAGCATTGCAACTAATGAGTTAGTTGCGGGATGATGTATTACGGAACGAGTAAAGAGACTTGCCGGTAACGAGATTGAACTAGGTATTGAGATACCGACGATCGAATCTCGGGCAAGTAACATACCGATGACAAAGGGAACAATGTATGTTGTTATGCGGTCTGACCGATAAAGATCTTCGTAGAATATGTGGGAGCCAATATCAGCATCCAGGTTCCACTATTGGTTATTGACCGGAGACGTCTCTTGGTCATGTCTACATAGTTCTCGAAACCGTAGGGTCCGCACGCTTAAAGTTTCGATGACAGTTATATTATGAGTTTTGATGTACCAAAGGTTGTTCGGAGTCCCGGATGTGATCACGGACACGACGAGCAGTTTTGAAATGGTCGAGACATGAAGATTGATATATTGGAAGCCTATATTTGGATATCGGAAATGTTCCGGGTGAAATCAGGATTTTACCGGAGTACCGAGGGGTTATCGGACCCCCCTGGGGGGGGGGGCTTAATGGGCCATAGTAGGCCTTAGTGGAGAAGAGGAGAGGGCAGGGCCGCGCACCCCTCCCCCTCTAGTCCAAATAGGACAAGGAGAGGGAGCGGCGCCCCCCCTTTCCTTCCTCTCTCCCTCCTCTTTCCCCCTTTCTCCTAATCCAACAAGGAAGGGAGGGAGTCCTACTCCCGGTGGGAGTAGGACTCCTCCTGGCGCGCCTCCTCCTGGCCAGCCGCACCTCCCCCCTTTCTCCTTTATATACGGGGGCAGGGGCACCCCAGAGACACAACAATTGATTTGATCATTTAGCCGTGTGTGGTGCCCCCCTCCACCATAGTCCACCTCGATAATACTGTAGCGGTGCTTAGGCAAAGCCCTGCGTCGGTAGAACATCATCATCGTCACCACGCCGTCGTGCTGACGAAACTCT